ATTGGCCAATTTTGGCAACTAGTGAAGTATATTAAGTGAGCGTTAGTATTTTGAATGAAAGAAAGAAATGTCCTAATGCCCCGGTATTAGACCACATGTCTACTGGCTTCATTCTAGATGCACCCTCCATCCTAATGATCATTTGGCCTTGGAAGGCCCGCTTTCCAGGGTGAAGTCCTTAAAGAAGTCTCTCCGCCAGTCCTTCCGCCGGATACGAAGGAGCAGAGTGTCAAATCAGAAGCGGCAAACTGCCCAGGTGAGGCAATGCGTCCTTTGGCTTCACACAGTTGTAACAAACCTCCCCCCCCCCTTTTTTTTTTTAGTGATAGATCAATGGTACAGGACCTTTCATGGCACTGATATGTTGCAAGAAGATAAGAATGAGATTCAAATAAGAGTGCTGCTTTTCAGTGAAGACAACTTGGGCTCTTGGATTAGTAGAAAGGAAAAAATATTTCTTTCCCTTCTGCTATTTTCAACAAATGCATGCACTCAGAAGCTAGTCCATTCAGAAGTCTTCAATTTATTACAACAGGGAACTTGAAACTCAGCTTATTATCCAGAAGTCTGGTTTTATTTTATGAGACCCATTTGATTCTTTTACATACGGTCTGTATATATTTGTTCTCAGTGAACTTCTAAATTAGTAAAAGTGGAGTAGCATCTTCATAATCTGAACAGTTTTGTTTGTTTGAGAGCTGCATAGGGTATTATTCAGTGGTTGCCCCTTTTTTTTTCATGGGACAATATAGGAGGGAATTTCCAGGCATAATCGTGACGCATTACAAGAAATTGAATTAGCTCCAGTCCAACGAAAGATTGAAGCACGATCAGCAGAGGATTCTTTCACGGGCTTCGTCCGCACGTTATATTTTGCTGACACCTTCCTAAGGGACAGTAAGTACTTCACCTTTGAGGATTTGCCATGTGTCCCTTTGCTCAGAGAACAAATAATGGTTAATAGAGAGTATTTATCACTTCTCGTCATCATTGGCTAGATTCTAACTCTCTACCAATGCCTGCAAAACACACATCAGTGCATGGATCACTTGATCCTTTATAACTGGTCACTACAATTGGCTGAAAACAATTACAGTTTTTTGACATTAATGAAATATGTTCTCTTCTAGATAAAGGTTTTAGAAAGTGACTCGTCCAAATATTTCAATAGATTTGTTTGTTTTGAATCAGGAAATGTTTGTCAAGAGGAAAAGAACACACCACACCCCTTTAATGAATGTGCACATTCATCCATGCACATACATCCATACACTAAATATTAAATCACCTGGAACAGGTAGCAATAGCACTTAGACTTATATACCGCTTCATAGTGTTTTACAGCCCTCTCTAAGCGGTTTACAGAGTCAGCATATTGTCCCCAACAATCTGGGTCCTCATTTTACCAACAATGGAAGGATGGAAGGCTGAGTCAACCTTGAGCCTGATGAGAATCAAACTGCTGAACTGCTGACAGCCAGCAACCTGCAGTACTGCATTCTAACCACTGCGCTCACCATAGCTCAGTGTGAGAGCTATGCATGTTGAATAAACGGTGATCACTGATCAATGTATCAGTGATAGCCATTTATTCAAGATGCATAATTTCTAGAGTAATTTTTAGAAGTTGAATAACAAATCACACTAAGAAAATGAATATTGGCTTTGATGAGGAAGGCCTTTGTGACAAGTTTTGGACTTTTTAATTTAGGGGGAAAATGGTATGCTTGTATAAATTTACAAGCCACATGCAGTGTGAAAAGAAAGATATATAATGGCTTTCCCCATAGCAACTTAGTATACAGAAGAATATACTACCTCTTGGATTTAGAGGCTGCATGAATTAGAGTTGTTGGACAACAAATATTAAAAGAAGGAAATACATTGCTGAATTATGCACATTTTTATCTGGTTCATTAGGGCTGTTTGGATACAGATTCTGGTCCAAGCTCATATTTTTCCTCCCATTTTTTCAGTCTCTTCACATTCACAGCACAAATGTTAGGAATGTAAATATTTTTTAAGAAAGCATTTAGTCCACATTATTCATTGTGTCTTTGAGCTAGACTGGACTGGAGTGAGTCAGAGTTCTGTACTTATACAGAAAACATTGATGCTTATATTGGAGATCTGAGCCCAGTGTGAACAAAACAAAATAAAAACCATTGTTTTTTCATCATCACTTGTTATGCATGAGAATTCCAGTCATGACTTCTGTTAACTCCTTTTCAGGTTCTCGGCACAGCCCTTCTTTGTGGGCAGGTACCAATGGGGGCACAGTGTATGCTTTCTGCTTGCGTATTCCTCCAGCAGAGAGAAGAATGGATGAGCCTGTGAGAGCAGAGCAGGGTGAGTGAGACACATTGATGAACTGCATTTAGGGTTGAGGATGATCTTACTCATTCTATCACAAAGAGCTGACTCATGATAGGTGATAAATGGTCTTGAGGGTGATGAGCTCATAGTGTAACATAAAATCAGAAAGCTACTTGAATGGGTATTTTACTCCCACCAACACTGACAGGGCAAGCCACTAGAATATCAGCAGAGAGCAAACCCCACTTTAAGTAACACTGATGATGTTACCTAGTTTGGAAAATGAAACATCTGCAAAAAAAATGAGAGCAACAGGGAGCCTCATTATCCCCTGACACTGCCACATCAATTATCAAAATTCTTCTTTTCAATCATAGTTATGTCTGATGTGTTGTGAGCTTTTATCAGTCTGTATTCAAAAATCCCACCATATTTTAACCTATTCACTCTCAACTACTTTTTCAGCCCACCAATTTTTCATTACTGATACATGATCTTTTTACAGGTGTTCAATGAATCATTCTGACATAACATTTTGGTGTTATGTCTTTATTTGTAATCAGTTGGTGCAATCTTAATTGCAAAAGCTGAGTATATAATCTATTTCTTTATGATGATAATTATTTTCAGAGAAAATTATTCAGTAGTTTCCTTTTGAAAAGTTGAGTATATAATCTATGATGATTATTATTTTCAGAGAAAATTATTCAGTAGTTTCCTTTTGAACCTTATATGCTATTTATCAGTGCTAAACAATTGTCTTAAGCTTTAAAGTTTTGCCCATTTATCAGTTTTTAATTCTTGCATTTTTATTACGTTTATCTTATCTTTCTAATATGGAGCTTAGAACAACATATATTTGTCTGCTCCTCTTTCTTATTTTTGCAATTGCCTGCAAGGGAAGTATGATTGTGAGAAAGTAACTAGACAAAGAAATTTGAAATTTGAACCCAGATCTCTCCATTCATAGTCTCAAAGCCACATTGGCTCTTCTTCTTTTTTAATAAAGTTTTATTTGGGTTTTCACACATAAAATACAAGTAAAACATCTTTTTTGAAAATAGTATGGTCCCGGGTTGAACTTCTTTATACAGACACAAAACTCAATTTCATGCTCCTTTTTGTATTCTATTCCATATCTTATACTATTTTACATTTTCTATATAGTTTTTCCCCTCTTTTAATTTTCTCAATTTTATTTTGATTATCTCATCTCAATTCAAATCATTATATTTATACTTTTGTCTATTCTGTTTCAATTTCATATTATCTTTTCTCATTAAACAAATTTTCTCCTGTAGTTACTAATTGGAGTATGACACCTTTATATCTTTTAATTACATCCATTCAACTCTTATTTAAACTTCAATATATACCTTAAGTTTATGACCTTCAATATAATACATAATACATAACTTCCAATCGAATTCTGCTTGGTACATTCTTATAATACACACTATATTCTTTTAAAAAAAAGAAACATTGTAAATATATGTAATTATCAACCCTCATTCCATTCCAGTTCAGTTCTATCATTAATAATCATTAAAATCTTAACATCTTTAACCAATTAAATATCATACTTCCTTAAAAACACATATAATCTCCACAATTAATTTTTCCCTTATTTCTCTTCACATATGTTTTATAAATCATTAAATATACCTTTTGTTACATTGATTTATTGACAAGCATTCCACTGAATTACGATAGCTATTTTATCAGACATTTTAATCATACATTGTTTCATATTTTCTAAAATTATTTCTGCTTCTAATATAACCATACTATCTTATGTACCTTTGCAGAATCCCTTTTTCCATTAAGTTTTCACACATTATCTCTAAATAGGCCCTGTTTCTCTATATTTTGCTTCTGTCCTTTATAACTTCTTTTCCTTTTTCTTCCCTCTCATCTTCTCCCTCCCCTTTTTACCCCCTTGTCTCTCTAGTTCTAATTCTCTCTTCTGCATTTCCCTCTTCTGTTGCTTTCCAATATTATACTTATTTTTCACTCTATTTTTTTGGGGAGTTGTTTTTCCCAATCTTAAACTTTCCATTCTCTTTCCCCCTTTTCCTTTTTTTCCCCATCTAAGATTACTTGTTCATTAAAGATGGCTTCTTTGTCGGAATCTTCTTGTTCTGCAGGCATTTCTTGTTGTTTCTCATAATGTTGTTTCTCCAAATCTCCATTTCTAAAAACTGAAATACGAAGCCAAAAGAACCTCTCCCTTCTTGTGCATCTTCTTTGTACTTTTTAAGTTCCATTTTCAATTCTTCTAAAAGTTGAGCCATTTTAAACAGTTTTAAACAACCACCCGATTGATTTTAGTCATTCAAAACAATAACCAAAAATCCAGAAATCATCAAGTAATCCAAATAGTCCTGAGTTATATCTTCTTATTTCTTTTTCCACTTTCTCTTCCTGGGGTTTTTGTTGCGATATTTCAGTTAAAATGTATCTTTTGGAAGTCTTGTTGAGATTTTGCTGTAAGTTGTTTTTAATTCCAGGCAGTCTCCTCCCTTCCAGATCCTGCCCTTTTATTCTTTATCTCCCCTTTCCTGTTTTCAAAAGTTTTTAATTATCCAGAAATCTTTATTATCCCTTTGACTTTTTATTTTCAGCATTAAATGCCTATTGATGTCAAAGTGGATTTTTTTTCCAATTTCTTGCTTAAGTCTCTTAGCTGTCAGTATAGGAAAAGGAGAAAACCAAATCTTTTCCCTTTTCTCTCTCCTTCGCAGCTTCTTAGGGAACAATGTTATTGTTTTTTAACAGTTTCAATTCCAGGGTACCTTATTTGTTGCTTTTGCTGTTTGACCCGGTCAACCAAAACTTTCTCTTCTTATCTTCCTCCTGCACATTCTTTTCTGGTCGAGTTCTTCTTTGTGGTGGCCATTTCTGACCACCGCTGCAACTGCCTTCGGGTAAGGGAGTAATGGCCAGCTGGGGAGGAGAGATGCGGCTCTCATCAACCCTGCTGGCAGTCTCCCCCCTCTTCACCACCTCTACGGGGTGGCTTAGCCCCGAAACCAGCTGGCTCGGGGCGCTCCAGCAGTGAGCACAGATCGAAGCCTCGCAGAGATGAGGTTTCGGTCTGTCGCTGAAGAAGCTCAAACCGGAAGTCCCACATTGGCTCTTCTTGAATTTCATCTGAGTCATGATGAAATCATTAAGGCACTAACAATGCATGCAAAACAAGGGAGCTCTGTTCTATCAGGAAATTAACCAAGTTAGCTAAAGAATGAATTTTTTACTTATATAACACCTGACAACTACAGTTCTAATAAGCCATGACCTAAAACTAATTATAAAAAGCTAAAGATATATTAAAAGGAGCTTAGGAAACATCACAATAGAGTGGGCAGTGGTAATAATGACAATGAAAATATCATAAAAGCAATATAATAAAGAAAAATCAAAAGAAACACAAGCCATAAAACACATCCCAAAGCAAAGCAGCTTCTTCACCAATGTCTTGGAGCTAGATCTTGCCTTATTGCTATGTGCATTTTCTCTTCTTGTTTCTTTAGCCAAAGAGATCCAGCTAATGCATAGAGCTCCAGTTATTGGCATTATTATTCTGGATGGCCAAAGCACTCCTCTTCCTGAACCACTTGAAGTAGCACACGACCTCTCCAAAAGTCCCAACATGCAAGGTTGTCATCAGCTTCTTGTAGTGTCTGAAGAACAACTTAAGGTAACAGGGTTCTCTGTATGTAAGATGTTGTACACTGTGTGAAAGACTTTGGAATGCAAAGAATGTCTGGAAATACTGTGTTACTTACTCCCTTGCCTTTTCCTTGCTTTTAAGAGGCATTCAGTGACATGTATTATTAACAAGGCTGCCCAGAGTTGAAGAAGCATCCTGTAAATTAGGAAGGTTGAGTTGCATATGGCAGAAATCCCCAATTTTGTCTTGTCCACTTGTCATGCATTCTCAACCTGTGTGACTTCTACACAGGAAGAAGAATAGCTGAGTTATTTGGGTGGTGCGTTATCTTCATTCCACCACCACCCAAATAATTTTAGAGAATGGATGAAAAACTGGGACCCTAAATTGAGCAGAGTCTCCATTAATATAGGAGGATCTGTGCTGTGGGTAAATGCCCTCTGCTTTTGGAAGTTGAAGAGAACAATTATTTGAAAAGGCAGGAGTGCAAACAGAGCCAGTAGGCTCAACTCTCCCTTCTCCCCCAGCTACAGAATACCTGAGCATTGTTTCATAATTATTAGCTCTTCACTTGACACCTTTCCCCAATTTATATTTGGTTTGGTGGCTTCCTTAAAAAGAAACCAAATCAGGCTCAAATTGAAGACAGTACTCTGGGGTCCTGCTAGCAACAAAGTATACCCCATTTTCTGATTTTGTTTGTAGAAAGATATTTGCAAGTGGTGAGAATCAGATCCTGGCCATGTAAAAAATTCATTCATTGCTTTCTGTGGCTTGAGGCAGAAAATCATTGCTTAAAAAAAACAGGCTCTTTTGCTAGTGAAGGAGGGAAATGTTGCATTTTTCTCATTACAGGTTGACTAGCAGAGGCTTTGATGTAATTCTTCCACTAAGGAAGAAAATGATAGAATTTGTTCATGTTGGCAGGTTTTCACATTACCCAAAGTCGTCTCCAAACTGAAGTTGAAACTTACAGCTCTGGAAGGCTCCCGGGTGCGAAAAGTGGCCGTTGCCAACTTTGTTAGCTCTAAGACCGAGCATAGTGAGAATGACTTGGCTGTCCTAACAAATCAGGGAGACATCCAGATTATCTCTCTGCCGTCACTTAAAATCCAAGCGCGTTATCCCTGTATTCGCAAGGAGGATGTGAGTGGCATTGCTTCCTGTGTGTTCACCCGATATGGACAAGGTAATATGAGGATCATCCATGAGTTACCACACTTTGGTGTGCTAGGCCAGGGGTCCCCAACCACTGGGCCGCGGACCGTTACCGGTCCGTGGATCACTTTGCACCGGGCCGCAAAGAAAATACAAAAATAAAATAAAATAAAAATGGCGGCTTTCTTTGCCTTCGGTGAATGCTGCTGGGATCAGGGATCAAGGACACAAATGAAAGAAGGGGAGGGAGGAAGCAACCAAAGCCTGTCCTGCTCTCCGGCTCAGTGACTTCGGTTTCCTCCCGCCTCGTTCCTCTCTCAGTCGCTCTCTCGCTCCTCCACCAGCCCAGGAAGAAACTGCTTCAAAGAAGCCGGCAGGGTGGCTTTTCCTGTC